AGGCAAGTAATATCTAGCTGATAGTCATGCAGCGCACGTATTGTTAGTGCCTGACTCACGGCATCCAAAGGTGTTCTTAGATTCCAGTATTCTATGTAAGAAGTTTTGCGTAGTTTGAAGTGTCCAGTACGTATACTTGTTTCCCGGGCCACTGGAGGAGCACAGGGCGCATCGCTTCCCGGGAACGCCGTAGCATGATTAGCAAGACAGGTTGAGTAGATATCCATGAAACTTCTTGGGAGTTAGGTACAGGAAACGTCCCCAGCGTCACCCGGCTTTGGATCGGGTTGGCATCTGTAGCCTTTGCACATTCAAGGGTAGCGCATGGTTGCCGGTGGCCCTCTGGGAGGAGCTCATACGCCATTGACATTTGCTAGCTGAACAGGGGTCCATGCATCCCTGGTGAGTACGGAGTCATTGTCTCGGCCGCTGAGTCGTGAAACCAACTTCGGCAGCACAACAAGTACGTTAGACACCCACTCGCCGGAAGTTGAGCTCCCGGTTACCCTCAACCTGGTTAGGCCCGCCTGTCGAGTGGTTTGCAGGGGTGTGGCCGCTGTTGCATCCAAACAGCTTTTGGGAGCCACAGGCGCGAGCTGAGCACCCGGTGGAGACCAAAGAACGGGGCATGCCCCAAAGGGGCCGACAGCCCTCCGAGTCAGAGGTGCTCTTCCTACCGGGTACCCCATACACCATATAACGATAATGACCAAGGAAATCGAAAATGTAGTAGGATCATTTATCGTACCATACTAAACAGGTGACAGGCTTGGTGGAAATCAGACCACCTGATTGAAAAGTGACGAACTTTTTTTAAAATCTGAACTGTGGGAACTAGCAATCATAGATTTAATTCGACCAATACGACACTGCACCCTGACGTGATTAGACCCGTTACACGCTTCCATAAGACTGTGATAAGTACATCACATCCGCAGATCCGGCCAAGATAAAAAACAATCCGTCGGTAGAGGCCAGACAAAACTCAGTTTCACATGTGCAACAGATGGAACGATCCTCTGTAACCATCTACTTTTAGCGCTGGAGAGGTCAATTCATCGAATAAACATGAAGAGCGGTTTATCAGTTGAAATTACCATCAGCTAGATCGATGTAGGACAGGGGACCATGAGGGTACCTCCCAACAATAGGGTTCTTCTGTTTCTGTAGTGAGCCATTGCACACCCATACTGAACAGCTCCGAGACAATAAGGTACTACCCAATCCACGTTCTACCTGTCTCACACGATTGATGAGACTAAAGGTATGGCCCAAGTGGTGGTTCAGTACCCACTGCAGTAAAAAAACTTTAAACCCTTATATGAAAGACTGGGTGCACGCTTTTTGATTGGATTTCAGTCAGTAACCAACCGCAAGCTGCACATCGCGCTGGTTTAATGCGGGACAATAGCTACAAAGCGATTCATCGCTACCTATTAATCGTGTCCGTGTGTGTGCATACCGGTTATAGTGTGCTTGGAATGAAGGATGATTTTTACAACAACCTTCGACTAAGTATTTACACCCAAGTGTTTTGAGATACTACTCACGTTTTTGAGTAGTTCGCAAAAAGATACGATTGGTGGCTTCTTTTAATGGTCAAAAATGAACAAAACTTGTTGGCGCGAATTTCTGCTGTTCAGTATATTAACTACAAGAATGCGCATCAAGTAGTGGACCGCTCCATTTTCTATCCTGTATACGTGTGGGAATTATGAATAATCGTTCCAAATGAGATATTTTGTGGTGTGAATCCCAACTTACCGATACCCAGACCATTATCTATGATAAACAACTATCCTCAACCGGGCATCGCCTTTCGGAACTATAACACACGGACATCGTAGTCAGCGTCGGTAATTCAAAGTTCAAGCGTGATTCTTGGCCGAATCACAAGGGTGTGCGGGCAGCCCACATTAGATAACATCCAAACCCAACGAACAACAGGGATCACCTACTTCAATTGCGTGCCGACTACAGTTTGTTACTGCCCAGCACAAAATCAGAGTTCCATTCCTTCGAACTGAGGATGAGAGTGTGACAAGGATATCAACTAACCCCGAAGTTGTTAGACATTACAGTCGACTGGTTCATGCATCTAATGCAACTAATGGAGGACAACCCATTCATCCAAAGATCTGCAGAGCATTGAATCACCGATGCATATCATCCCAGCTTAACAGCTGACCGATTTTGAAATGGCCACATTCCAAACAAGCCTCACATATCGGCTAAAACAACCCACAAAATATTCACGAAGCTCGCTGGATAAGCGGAACTTCCTGTGCAACGAAATAATCGACTATACAAACTGTCCCGGACTTAAGATAACTTGGGTCTACAATTCTGATCAACCGACTGGAGACGGATGACGTCAAGAGGAGTAATGAAACGACGGAAATGGTGCCTTACCAGGTCGGATCAACCTTCGAACTCCGGAATGATGTCAATCTCAAAACCAAATTAGGAGTTTTCCATTGCCATCCGCTCAACCAACCTGTGAGACTGTGACATCCAACCATTCAGAACGTAGCTGGCCCCACAGTGAGGGCAAATAAAACCTGGTGCAGCACTGTATTTGGATACCACTGTCTGATCATCGCGTAACCAGTTCAGGTTTTTACTACCATTTAACTCTGCACTTTCGTGCGCCGGTTTGGTTGCTGTTTCATGATAGCCCCTTTGGAGGAAGGAGTGAAAAGAAGACTGGAATGTTCAAATCGGAATCGGAATGAAAACGGAAAATTAACAAAGGTCAGAAAGGAATTGAGGAAATACACAAATGCACCTGTTTACAATACTCCATCATATCACTCAGGGTCTCTAACCATGGACTACGCTGACCAGGCAACAGGACAAACCATATCGGGATTGGACGATAAGTGTCGGAGGTGATGATCGCCCACCAAAATAACAGTTTGACCTTAGTAGTTGATATGGCTGCAGAACCTGCGCTACGCATGCCATTCGATAGCCCTCCTCGGTGTGTGGTGTTGGTCAAGGCAGGCAGTGGATGAGAAAAGATTCAGAGTAGTCACGACAGAACCCAGAAACAGGGCGTGTAGGATTCCGACAAGGGTCCTCGGTCACACATAAGCCACATTAGACTTCCGGTTCACAGATCTCGTGACCCATTCAATCAATGGGTAGACGGATTGACTGTTACGGTTGAGTGCTGTAAACAGTTACGGTCGTGCATTTAACCGCGTCCTATGCAAATCTAGTTCAATTGCTTTTTGTACCTTTATTTTGATTTTGTTTCAAGCTTTAAACTCTCCGATTTACACACACATCCGTCAATAGTCGATCACATGGGTAGCAGTCGTAAGACGGCAATCGCAACTGTCTGACGACAGTGCAATATTATTAGTTGTAAAATTCATGCATACACACAAATAATGACACGGTTTCAGGTCTAAGGGCATGTATTTCTAATAGATTACAAACAACGGGACTGAAACCAACAGACGCACTGAGACATCTGGTTCGAGGTGAGATGAGATAGTATGGAACACAGCGATCGCCACGCCAGAGGTGTTGACATTTGCAAAGGCGAGGTGCCAAGAATTGGTTCATCGTCGCAATGGTAAAACATTGCCAATGAAGAAAAATACTAGACCACAATAGCTAGATTAAACTTGATAAACATGAATACCGGGATGCGGGATGCAAACGAAGAACATGGAGCAAGTCAGGATGTTGAAGTAGGCGGGGATGGACTAGTCTCATAGTGTTATGAAACTGGGACAGCCACATTAAAACCAAACCAAAAACATCTTTGAAGAAGCGCGCAAACTGTTCCTCAGCTTTCTAGGTCTATCTACATTGTCTGTGTCATGTCATGCATCTAGCGTTCATGTGCCTCAACGATCTGTACAAAGAGGAGTAATGTGGTTCGAGATCGCGCATTTCGGGAATTGGAGGAGGAGGAGGAGGTGGTGATGGTGGTGAGTGGAGACTGTTCGAACAGTTGAATGGCATCGGTGAGGGAGAAAAGAAAAAGCTAAAATAAGAAAGTAACAAGTCGAAAGTGGAGGAGCAGAATGTAGAGTAGCGGAACTAACTAACGAACGAAATAGACGAAAGCGACAGACGGGAATGTTATACGCAGATGAGAACCAGTCATGCACAACACAGACGGATTAGCGGATAGATAGATAGAACAATACCGGTTTGGTAGTCATCCAGGATGTTGCACGGCTCACGGAGGGAATTGTGTATGTTTGGTAGACAGGGAAAGCGAGCGTGTGCACAAAAAAACCGAGTTGTTGAGGAAAAATGGATGCGCGAGCGTTTGCTTTACCAAAGGTGTGTTTCTCTGATCTCACCGATGATCTGGCTGGCTTTTTGCAATGCCTGAAATAGAAAAGGGATCCATCAAAATAGGTATTTATTGCTTTGTACACATAGGAACAGATATGGTGTATGGAAACGTATGAATGAATGTATACATTCTACTCGTATATTCTTGTAGATACGGAGGAAACTGCTGCTGTGAAGGTCAAGCTGACCCCCCCCCACTAAAGTAAACCAAGGAATTTCGTATATATAGTATCCTTCGTAAAACCTATCTACCTACTGATTTATCGTGAAACTATTGCATCCTGATTCGTTTCGCACACGGTGTGAACTCATAGGTGCGGGAAAATATAAACATACTCTGTTGATTAAATTGTTTCAAGGCAAACTGGACTTGAATCACCACAACCTCATTTGTCCTTTTCTGATGAGCTGATTATCTGAGTTTGGCATCTAGTAACAACGTTGCACGGTGGTGTTCCTGATTAATTTAGATATTGATTGAGTTGAGCGGACTATCCTTCGGATTTCATCTTCACGGGCAATCCTCAGTTCATCGATTCAACCGCACACTCGGAAGCACTAGAACTCGACTTTCGTTTTTATTAGAGCTCATCGGTTGTGCATATCCACCGTCCTTTCCGGGATCTGAAATCCGGACTCATCACCACTACTCACAAGAAACTATGAGTTAAATGCGAATATAATCGCGCCTTAGGTGGCAAGTCGGCCTGAAACCTAAATGGAAGTCCTGATTTGGTGGGTTTTCGATTGGAGTTAATAGATTGTCATCTGTCTCCCCTGGTTGCTGTCGGGCCAAATGAACTGACTATCACTGAAGACGTTTAACCCCGTCCAAAGGGTGTATGGTACGATGAACTGGACACCGACCCCCGGTTTACAAACCGCCCCGCTGCCTTGTGGGTCAGGTTTTGGCTAGCCACAGGCTCCGGTTGACAAGTCCTCAAGAAAATTCACCGGCCTCGGCCTGGGCAACCTGAAAGTATATCGCCCACATGCAGATCATGGAGCGTTTTTTTCCAATGATTATTGTACAATGATCTGTTTGACGCATAGCCTGGATTAGGACCTGTGTGAAAATAAATAAATATGCACTGGAGACCACATTTTAACAAACATGAATTAGTAATTCGATTCAGCAATGGTATTAGCTGGTTTGCACAGTGGGAATGCACACGCCTTCCATGCCCGATAGGTCCGGAGTTCAAATCCCGGAAGGGACGGTGAATATGCACAACCGATGAGCTCTAATAAAAGCGAAAGTCGAGTCTGGTGCTTCCGAGTGCATGATTGAATCAATGAACTGAGGACTGTGCGTGAAGGTGAAGTCCGAAAGATCAATATCAAATATCCCACACCACTACTCACAAGTAACTGTGAGTTAAATGCTAATTCAGATAAGCTATACGTTGCTTTTTGATCACTGCACTGCTTGGCGAATCGACACATGTCACGTATCTTTGTATTTTGTTTAGCGGGTTATGGCAATGTTGCCGATTCGAGATAAATGTTATGTGATTGGGGATCGTGGGTAAACTTGTGCGTCCAAACTGTGTCCGTGTTTTATCAGATTGTGCCTCGAACGAATTCAAGACAATCTCCTGATATTTCAAGCTTGTGCTTCGAAAGTCTTCAGGGTGTGTGTGTGTGTGTGTGTAATCTTTCACGAACTTATTGCTATGTTATCTAGGATAGTATGTCAAAAATGGACTTGTATTGTGTACTGTGCCACCATCCGAAGACACACGAGAACCGAAGCATAAACTACCAATTCTAATTTCCACAATTAGATAGTGATAATTGAGTCCTCGGTTCAAAATGAGGCAAATGGTTGCATAGAATGAGCATCCAAAACCAATGTTGAAAACAGGCGCCACCGAATGTGATTATGGCTAATGTCAATTATGAAATGACGGTTCAGTTAACGGAACCGTGACCGGAGCTAAAATCATCCAAACGTAAGTGAGTTCTGTAACGAATAAGAAATCAAGTGTTGATAAGAAAGCCATACTGGATCGGGTCGAAAACGAATATCAAAGAAGTTTGTTGAACACCAAACAAAATAATGATCATCGACCCAACACGGAAAAATGTGTGGTACTTCATTTCATTACTCATGTTCACTGGGCGTTGTTCGTTAATTGGGTTAATCGATTTTTTCTCCGTCATCATTAACATCATCACTTTTTACATCCCAGTTGCCAATGGTAACCGTCGGACGGGCCGAAAAAATTGATGCGCACGAGATAGTGGAATGAATTCTTAAATCAGGTACGATAAAAACGAACACTGATTAACAAAATGGGCACACAAAGTAAGTCGCAAACAGAACAACCGGAGAGATAGTTCCAGAAAAACCAAACGAATTTAAGGAATATTTGTAAAGGACATATACAATGAATCTTAGCGGTGCGATAAATCCTCTTGCCGATAGGTCCACAGGAGCCATCCAGACCAGGGGTCCCCAAATTGTACTCAAAGTGTTTGACTCAGAAATTACACCCTTTGTGTAGATGTCTATGTATTAGTATTTTATACACGTCTGAACCCAGACTATGTGCCAAACTAATCATCGTACAATAATCTTTAAAAAGAGGTTTTATGATTTGTTGGTAGGCGGAATACTGTCGGTTTGCCCAAGCCAAAGCAGGTGACTTTTTCTTGGGGAATAATCTCCCTTCTTCGTATCTATCCCTCAAATTCGGAGTAATCGAAACCCATAGGGAAACAACTGAAATGTAACCCATTTCAAATGCGGTGACCCGTCAGACTCCAGAATCTGTCGTCTCATTACTCTCTCTCACAGGTTATGGAATTAGTCCTTATTAATCAAGTTCATCATCACTTGGAGCAAAACGAACGGTTTAGCGATAGCCAAAACTGTTTTTGGTCGCACAAACCCATGGATGATTTCCCCGCGATCGTTTCATACACATGCAGTCCGCATAACTGGGCAGCCCCTAAAAAACCTACCTGGTGCCGCTGGACCTGCCGAAGCTATCGATCGTAGCTGGCACACAAGTTCGCTGGTTAAATTACCCAAGTATCCGTTTCTCTCGAGACTTAGGTCCTGGTCAGCAGCTTTTCTGAACCACAGCACAGTGTGTGTTCCAGTCAACGGGACCGTGACTTATTTTGCACCTGGGAATGTTGTTCTTGTACAGCAAGGTTCAGTAACTTCTATCAGACTTTATCGATTGAAATTAATGACTTTCCTGCGACTTCCAACCCGAATCACACACTCTTCGTTGTCTTATTCCTCTTCTAGCTGCGGCATTAGCAACAACCGCTCTTCTATCAGAATCTCCCTAAATTCTTATCTTGGTCTTAGTTATGCTTGGGGCCGGTAAAACCACCCTTTTACCCATCTACTTTGAAAATGAATCTTTCTATACTACATTAGGTTTCGGTCCAACGTTCTGCGTTTCACAGATTCACACAGCTTTCATTGTTGCCCGATATTTATTTACTTCTTGTCATGTTGAGCACCAGGTGGGCTTTTTCTCACGCGTTTATCCTCATAGGTCCCACACACAAGCGGCTAATCACCCCACGTCATACTCCTAGTTTTAATTTTCTTCTTCCCAGGTCAAC